AGGGAGGGGGGAAGTTGATGAGGAGGCAGTGCCCACTTTGCCTTAATGGTTTTTGATTACCTGGGGAAAAAAAAAAAGGTTATTGAGAATAATGGTGACACTAATCATTTTGGGTAATTCTACCAATAGTTCTACTGTATGGCATAAACAAATATTAGACTTTCTTGTCTACTAAGGACATGCTTCACTTGATTTAGGTCAGTACTTACCATTCTTCTACTGTTGGAATATTCATTTCTTTTTTTACATATTTTTTTCTTATGAACAGTGAAAATAAGAAAGGTATCATCACAAAAGCTTTCTATAGGCTTATGATTTAATTTTATGCTAAGGCAATAAATATTATTACACTTCAAGTTTTTCTACCTATGGTCTGATTGCTCTGGACACCAGACATGAGCATGTCTGTCCTGCTAAGCAGAACTGGAGGCATAGAGCCTACAGCAGGTCACCTTCAGATGTCATTTTTCCATTGCTACCAGCTGTGGCTTCTCTTAACATCAGCTTTTTCTTCCTGCTGTCCCCACTGCTAAACTGTTTGTATATGTCTTGGTTTTCTCTTGTCTTACTATAACTTTCTTTTCATTGTCTGTACTTCTAGCGCCACCTCCTCCCTCCAATTTTTTTTTTGTCCAGAAAACGTTGATAAAAGTTTGTTAGTCTCCTCATATTCTAAACATGTTAAGTTCTCTGTGAATCTTTCTCTGTCTCTTCTCATATCAAATTCTGTGCCTTTGTTCTCCACTTCCAGGGCTTTCTGTTCTGCCTCTTCCTTTGCAAAACAGTTTTGTGGATGCCCTGGGCTCTTCTGATGTTTTTATCCTCAAAGTGGTGCCCCTCATCTGAACTGTTGAGTTACTTCTTGTCTTTTGTTTTAGATGAGAAAGTTACTGAGTCAGGAACTGAGGTTTACTCTGTAAAGCAAGTGGTACATTTGTAATGCTATATAATAATTTTAATTGAGAATGACGATCTAAGTAAATCTAGCTAACGTATTTGTTGTTTTCTTTGTTTTACAGGATATAGTATCTCAGAAAAACACAGTAAGTATTAAATCCTCATTCATTCAACCCAAGGCCATATTTGAAGTGACTCTAACAAAAGGACTGCTAAGTCATACATGAATTGTTATATATATGATCAAAAAAGGTCCAAGTTCCCTAGGTTTAAATTAGTGGAAATCATGCTGACTTGCTTTCCAAAGTATGTTGCTGGTGTTTATGGTTTTGTTTCAGAAGGTGTTCCCTCTTTTTGTCTTTTAAGAAGATATACAGTATAGCTTTTCATTTAACTGGGACACTGGAAGTTTGTGAAAGAGCTGTCACAACGTATGTACCATATTTACTCAAACCCAAGATACATTTTTATTTTTCACTCGCCAAACAACATGGGGGTTATGGCGGGAAACCTCATCTTAGATTCGAGTACCAACCTGGGGTAGGAAGCCAGGGCCATGGCCATCACTACTGACTACCCCAGACCTGGAGCTGGCATCAGTGTAGAAGCTAAGTCTGAGGGAAGAGTCAGGTGGCGGGCATGGGAGGAACAGGGAATGGGGGGTTAGGTACTGGAGGGAGAATAGACAGTGGTGAAGGGGTAAGCACAGGTTGGGGGGCGCAAATGGCAGAGAGGCAGGAGGGGCAGGTACAGGCATAGGACGTACATTGGGGGGAGGGGAGGGGTAAGGGGGCAAGGTTTGTCTACCTGCTCCCCTGTTGCTACTTTGCCTGCTATAGCTGTGAGAGGTATGCTTTGAAGATGGCCCTCCAAAAATTAGAGTGTATACATGGAGAATTATAATAAAATTATAATTCTCCATGTATCAATTCCTAATCACTGGGGGGTCACCTTAACTTTGAAGTCATCTTGGATTTCGGTACATATGGTATTCTAGGTGCACAGATATGATAACATGCTTCAAAAGTATTAAGATAACATGCTTCAAACTTACTTCTTTTCCCCAGTGGTGCATTTAAGATGCTAGGAAACATATATGCATAGACATTCAGGGTTTTTATTGTGACCTGTGGATACAAAAACTTGATTTTTCAAAACAAAGCTCTTTGTGTTCTTAATACCTGCTAAAACTGAACACACCCAATCCAAGGTAAAATGCATTTGAACGTATTAGATCTGTTGTCTTATGCTGTGGATGAATAAGGGCTGATTTAACTCTGTATAAAGTTATGTGTTTTATGATGGTTCTCATTATATCAGCAGTCCTTCCCAATGAACACTGTAGTCTATAAATCTGAGAACAAACTCTTGGATTTGCATAGATCTGGAACAAAGACACAAAGAGGCAAAAATAAGCTAAATCCTTTCAAAGGATGTCTTACCTGTATTCTCCCTCTGTGCAGGAGAGGAGCAGAGAAGAATTGTAACTGAAGCTTTGGGGGTCAGTCCTGAAATAGTAGAGTTACAATTTACCCCTGCACTCAGATATTGACATAAAACATTAACCTAGACTGAAGATTTTCTGTGCTGCTGCCCTCTCCCTGATTTGGTTTGTGCCACACAGAGGTTGTCTGTTTCACTTTTTGCACCCATGCTGTAGATTGGACAACCCTGATGTAAAGTAGCAGGGGTCATCCCTGTCATATCACCTTCTTTTATGGCAGTGCTAAAGCATCTGTATTCTTTGCCTCAGGGGACTTTATATTTTCTGTATTTAACTTTGGTATTTATCCTAGAAATCTCAAATTCTATTAAAAGGGAAAAGGAAAGTTATAGTGCAGAACAGTAGTGGAAGCCCCTTAAGATGTAGAGATCAAATATTTCCTTTTACAGTGATTATTTTCCTCCAAAATATAAATAAATAAAGCTAAAAAGGATTGTGATTAATGCATCTCCCTTAGGAAAGATGTAAATCATTATACTAATTGAAAGTTTGGGAAAGAGGGGATGGAGAGGAAGGTAAACATGGAACTGAAAACAATTAATTGAAAATATTTCAGCAAGTCATTTGGGGCTTGACCTCAGTGGCCAGCTGAGCTGAATATGAAAACCACAGAGCAGCTCTGTAAAGCTCATTGGTAAGGGCCATGGCATGGATTTAATAAATTGGGATAGGGAAGTAGATAAAAGGGTGATAAACAGGGGATTCAGCTTCTGCTTGTCAGCAATGAAATGTACTGAGACAAGATAAGATGGGGAGGAGATTACTTTCTATATGACTCCCGCAAAGCAAGAGATTAAAATTCCATATTGGTAATTTACAGCCCCTCTGAGACATTTAAAGCATGATTTATGAGATTCATTATACAACTGGGAATTCAGTTCCCAAGACAGAATTGCCCTGGTTTGTAACTAAAGTCAGCATTCACTCGGAGATGGTATATATACAGCTCCATTGTTTCTGTCAAAGTAATTATTTATAAAATAAATTACAAATAACAAGTCTTGGGTTGCCATGGAGAAAGCAAAGTTTGGGAGCGTGCTTGAAGTGTTGATAATAGATTTGTGGAATGTAAGTATGCATTTATCTTTAGTGAGCAGAGCTCACCATTTGGGCTTTATTAGACCACATTTCAAAATCACAACTGGCTGATTGCAGATACGCAACCTGAGCAGGACATGAGAATTAGAGGGGGTAAAAAATAAAAAAAAGGAAATTTTTACAAAAAAAAAAAAAGCAAGAAATTGTCACTTTCTTGTTTTGTGTCTTTTTGAGTTAGAAAATCAAAATTTGAGAGTTTTTGTACTGCTTATAATAAAAAAAAAGGCATAGAATAATAGAATACAGAGGAAATAGAGGATTTTGATTGCACGCTTTTTAAAAAACAGCTGCTAGAATTGAGAGGCAGATAGATGGTCCTTTCCAAAATAGCTTTAGTACTTATATATCCTATGTACTATGTATAGTTTGGCCCATGTGGATCATTTGAATGTGGTAGTGAGCCTAGTAGTTCAGGGACTGACTATCCTCAATTATAACTAGGATAAAAAATAAAAATAGAATATGGGTATAAGGAAGAAAAATAGCTGATATCTGATTATTTTTTCTTCAAATTGTTTGATTTCTAAATTAACTGTCTGCCACTTGGTTTTTGGCAAAGATTGTTAAAGAAAATTAATACGCGTATTAACCAAAATAGTTATAAAACAAAGTTGGTTATTTTACTATAGGTAATATCTATTATGGTACAGATCTAAACTGCAGTGGAGTCTTTCTCTTGATTTGCATACTCTTTAAATGAAAATACCCTTAAAACTTCTACCAAGTAAATTCTGGCCAGTGAAGTCAGAAACAAATCTCCCATAGACTTCAGTAGGGCATGATTTCACTTAGTAGCTGAACTGTAAGCAACTGGTACATTGTAAAGCAAAGATTTTGTGTGATTAGTACAAACCTGTGTCAATAATAAGTTAGATTTTATTTATTACCTGGAAGTAATGAATGTTCAAGGAAGCTAAATAATTAGGGCTAGATTTAGTACATAATGTGAGTCTTGGAGTCTATCTCAATCAGCAGTCCTAATGACACTGCAGTGGAGTCCAGAGACTATTAAAGTCAGAAAATGAGTTTGTTGTATATGATTCTAATGTTAGCAGTTATAATCTGATCAATAAAGATTTTAAAGGAGTAATATTTTTATGTGCTTTTCCTGACTGCAAGTGTGATATGTAAAACATTGTAGTAATTTTAAAAATTTAAAATGTATTTCTAGAAATGTTTCTGAAGCAGAAAACGTATTTGAAAAACATATAATAAAAGATGTTTTATATGGGATTAGGAACTCTTTAAATGCAGAAATACAGCATTAAAACAACTCCAGGGGAGAACATACATTTAAAAAAAACCCTTTTAAGTAGATATCTTTGAAGAGAAAAATATTAAATTAAGGGTAACCTAATAAATATGACTAGAATTGTTTATATGCATTTAATATGCCAATAACATACCTCTTATTCTAACTTTTTACCTATTAAATTAAAAAAAATGTGTTAAGGCAGTTTAAGTTTTATATTTATATAAAATGTTTGTCTGGAAACATAAGAGTTAAGTTTTCCGAAGAAAATGTTGATTCAGTTTGACTTACTGCGTATAGTTAATTGTTTGTGTAGTTGCAACATTGTTCATGTACACAAAACTGGGAAGGATTGTGAACACATTGGAGGATGTGAGCACAATTCTGAAGGATCTCAACAGATTGGAAAATTGAGCTAGAGCTAGCAGGATGAAGTTCACTGAGGACAAATGCAAAGTGCTATGCCTTGGGAGGAAAATCAAAAACACAGATACAGAATGGGGGACACTTGGCTGAATTTATGAAAAAGGATGTGGGACTCTTGATGCAGCCACACAAAAAGTGAATGCAGTTTTGGGGTGCATCAGTAGGAGCATTAAGTGCAAGACACAGGAGGTGATAGTGCCTCTCTACTCGGCACTGGTTAGGCCTCATCTGGAGTACTGTGTGCAGGTCTGGACTCCACATTTTAAAAAGGATATGGAGAAGTTGGAGGAACCATAGGGAGGCAACAAAGATGATCAAGGGCTTGGAAGGCAAGACATATGAGGAGAGGCTGAAGGCTCTGGGCATGTTTAGTTTGCAGAAAAGATGGGACATGACAGCAGTTTTTAAATTACTTGAATGGCTGCCAGAAAGAAGAGGGGAAAAGCACCTTTTCTCTCTTGCTGCAGAGGAGGGTGCAAACTAACGGCTTGAAATTGCAGCAAAGTAAATGTAGAAAGTCTATCTGGAAAAACTTCTTCACTGTGGGAATAGTGAGACAATGGAATAGACTGCCTAGGGGAGTTGTGGACCCTGCATCATGGGAGGTGTTCAAGGGACAGCCAGTCTGATAGCTATGTCTGTATTCCATTGTGGGTATTTCCCATGCTTCTGCATTTGTTGGTTTCTTGCCTCCCTTCTCCATTTTTGTGCTATGTGTGTCAGGCATTGGGTTTTGGCTACAGCTAAGCCTGTGGACTTCAACTGGGGTGTGCTGATTCTCCTGCTGGGACCAAAGCCAGAGGCTCCTGGCTAGAGGGTCTTGCTTGTCCACTCAGGGTCAGACCAATCACCATATTTGGGGTCAGAAAGGGATTTTACCCCATGGCCAGATTGGTATAGACTGTGGGGTTTTTTTTGCCTTCCTCTGTATTGTCTTAAGTGTATATTAACAACATTTTATAGAAGCAGGACGTTGGCTGACATGGTTCCTCTGCTTTACCTGCAGCAGGTTAGGCTGTTAGGTCTATGTTGTGTCAGGGTTGAGAGTAGTCTTCTGTAGAGTTTAGATTCTGGTTGTATGGGATAGGGATGTTCCTGCCAGATGACCTATGGTGATCCCTTCCAGCCCTACTACTCTATGACTTCAGTCTACCAAGTGCCTGGGAATAAGACCTCCCTGAAAGCATGTTGATGATGAAATATAAAACATATGCTCTCAAACCTTCCTTTCCTGGTGTCCAACATGGTACTTTAGTTTCATTTCTGAAAGTTTTGTGGATTTTGAGCTTGTATATTTGCTGTCTATGTATTTGTTTTACCCTCCATTTTTTTCTGACTTCAATAATTTCTCTATTCACTGTGTCATGTCTGTCTGTCTTTTTTATTTTTATACTTCCATTTCTATTCTTCTACTTTGTTCCATTTCAATTTGGAGTAGGCTGCCAACCACAAAGCTTTTCTTCAGGTTCAAGTACCTCCTGAATACCAGAGTGTTAATGTTATAGGCAAAGTATGTATTATTTCATTTTATTCTGCTTTCTTATTTATTCATTTTGTTATTGCAGGATTATTTTATTGTTGTGCATTTTAAATACCTTTATCTAAGTACATTTTAAAAGTGATACTTGGCAGGTTCTTCTTTATATAGGAATTGCTGCCTTGGGTTGCTGTTATTAATAGCTAAATCCTGTAAACTTAGAACACAGTGCTTCTTAGAATATCCTGTGTTTTCATAAAAATATTGATATTATATTGTCAGGTTATAAAAATTAAATATTACAGTTGATGAATTCAGGCCTTTGAGCACGCACATAACAGCAAAATGTTTTAGAAACATTCAGCTCCTTCTAATGGAAAATTTCCTAAACCTCCTACTTTGGGAAATTAACTTACATAGGTATAGAGAAATAATTGTATCTCTGTAGTTATGAAGGTATATTTCCATGTGTTGATGTGGGTATGGATTTTTTACTCCGCTGTAATTAGGAATAAAATCCTTTCTTTTCTGGAATAGGGTTTCCGCACCCATATTGCTATAACAATAGAAGTTAAGTTATTCTACTACAGCTATACAGGTTCATTTCTTGGGTAGAAAAAACTTTTTTTTTATTATTGTTTTTTCCTTTTGATTGCATTTACAAAGGACAGTGCATTTACAAAGCAGCTGCTATGGAGAGAGTAAATTGTACCAGGTCTCTACTTAGCACAGCTTGTTTCTTTTTACCCCCTTTCCTGGCATGTAAGACTGGCAGCAGTCTCACTCCAACTTATCATTCTTTTCTTCAGTCATACTCAG